ACCCAGTGGCTGGGGATGCACCCAAAGCTCAGGTGCCCGGGCCGTTGGGTTTGGCAAGAATCGTCGGCTGCAGCGAATTTGATGCTGCGCAGCGTGTCGGGACAAGAAAGCAAATACTCTGATTTGTTCCAGCTGACAGTAATCTTCGGCTTAGGCATCGGCGTTCATGGCGCATGCTGCGTCTACAGCTATCTACCTTAGCTAACGTGGCCGGCCGCAAACTCAGACTCTTCTTTGCTGGAATTGCGTCCAGCTATTGGTATCACAGAAGATGAGGGGGCTTTGCTTGAGTGGGCGGCACCAGGCCAGGAGAATGGTGAAGGTGCGCTGATTGGCTGTCCCAGACAGATGTGGGGTTTTGGTGCTGAAAAACCTCACAGGGTATGGGTGGGTGCTGGTGCCAGAAGTGCGGACGAAAAATCGTCATCACCTTCCCCAAGGACAGCGTTGGCACCCTGACGGCGCCCTGAACCCCAAAGTGTCAGATTCTGGGTCGCAAAGACCAACCCAAATTTTGGTTGATTTACGGTCCGGACGCAGCCATTCTTGCTGCGTCCGAAGCTTGGACCCCTGGATTTCGGACACACCCTTCGGCACCACTCGGACGCACCATTCAGACGCACCCAAAATTGATGCGTCCAAAGAACTGGAGCAAATGACGGGTCTCCGCAACTCGATAATCGCCTACTTCGAAATCACGCCACAATCAAACGGAAAAGAAACTGTACTTTGCGAGGAACAAAGGGGAAAACAAGCATTGCGTCAGTTCAAGTGTCTTCGTATCTTGGGAGCATCCTGGGGGAAAATCTTCAATTCAGGTGGACGGGACTGTTGCTGGTCTGGGCAGTAAAAGAATATTTTTTTATGCGTGCAAACTGCTTAATGTAGGCATCCAGTACGAAGTGGTTGGTCCTTGTGAAGTCACCTTGTCCGTGGCCTTTATTTTGATAATGAATGCCGCCGTAGGTACAGCAGAGACACCAATCAACCCAAGATAAGGTAGTTCGCATATGCATGGTCGCTTTTCGCAAAAAAAAAAAAAAAACCAAATAGATACGGAAGGGCACAGAGCGAGCAAGAGGCCAGATGGACGACCAGGCGGAAGAAGAGGGAGAATGGGAAAGCCGATTCGCGAAATCGAAATAGCGACAGGCGCATCCTTGCCGGGAGAATCCTGGGAGCAAGAACACGATGAGACCAGATATTGGAGGAGCAACACACGACGGCACATGCGACGACGTAGGACATCTCGCGAGCCACTTGACAGATGATACGTGGGATTCGGAAGATCCTGAGCCGAAAGCAGTTCGGCTGACTGCATACAACTTGCCTCCCCATTGCATCCAAGGTAAGTCGTGAATCATCAGAGTAGATGACGCTTTGAATCGCATTGCTGCTGCCTTTGAACCTTCGACTTGGAGGGCATGCTACCGACCCGTCCGCTGCCGCAAAGGCCCTGCTGCGCCTCAGCTTGAATGATACTACCCATAGCCACCTTACCTTTGGAGCAAGCCACCAGTAGGTGCCTCAAGCTCCCACATTGATCAACGTGCATGGCGGGTATGGGCGCGTGGCTGATGTCTCGAGCAATGCAGGTCGAGGTCTCTGATGGTGAGTTTCGAACGGCTTCGGCACAGCAAGGCTGCGCGAGTGAAAGGTCGACGAGTTTGGCGGGGACGGGAGAGGCGGCAAAGATGATCGCGCCGGTATCGATGCCGGGCATCAATGAAGCTTTCGTACTGCATGGTTTGGACTCGGTCGGCGGTAGGAATGTTGTTTGTCATTTTGTTGGACTCAATCGCTCTTTCGGTCTCGCGGTCGGGAAGACAGAGGGGCAGGATGCCATTGCGGTGGTGAAGATGTCAAAAACCCTGCCAAGGAGAAAGTCAGACAAAACAACATTGCAAGGGGGCGGGAGACCTCCTAACCTTGCTTGGACGCCGCAGTGCAAACAATTATCCCATGAGCAGATGTGCAGACTCCGGAAGAGTTGGAGAGGGAACAAAAGAAGGGAGGATCGAAATGCGACTTGTTTAGCCGATGATTTGCTGCTTTCAAGGCCGGTCGTCCAAATGATTGCCTGCCTCAGCCATGCCCGGGGACCGGACAAAGCTGACGGTCGAGAGAGCGGCAGTATGTCCGAGCCATGAGCCCGTTTCCAGTCGTTGCGATGAAGCGCGTTGCTCGGGAAAAGAATGCGACTTGAGATTCCTAGACGCGGGTCATGATGTTCGATGTGCGACGTTGATGCAGGTGCGAAGTATGGGTAGGTTCGACCACGAAAAAGGAACAGAAGGAAAATTCTGGGTTGACTGACCTGAAGTAATGGCTCTGAAGTGCAGTAGCACCTGTGGGCTGGTGACGGGGGAGGTGCTGACGAAAAGTCGTCAGCACTTCCCCTGAAGGGCATTGCAGATGTGTACCCACTTTATCCACCAGGTATCACCATACATAGCGGCGATTTCTACTGCCACCCAGATAAAATTGGCATAACCTGCTCACCCGCGGATGAATCAAGACTGGCTTCGAAAGGAATTGTCTTGTATGCATCCAAAAGGTCGTCCATTGAAGACGGACACGGTGGTGTTCTGGTTTTCGGCGTACATTGATGCTGCTGCATCTTATCCCCGTCCCGAATCCCCGTCCCGGATCCCCGTTGCCCCCGCCCCTCCATCGCAGCAAGCTGAAAGGATGCTCATGTCTCGGACAATTAGACCTGCGAAATCTAGTGAAGAGAAGCCCTCGTGTTCCACAACTGCATCAGTGATCCGAGGCCCGGCCTGCTGTGCCGATGCGTGAGGCCAGCCTGACTGTTGCTCGTGGCATCCGAAGCGATTTCGGTCGATTGATCTACCTCGATAAGAGAATCAGTGCAACGGGCCTACGGATGCGCTCCTCTCTCGGTCTGTGTCGGATTGGATCGTGGGGCTCATTGCCGTTCGGCTGTAGCATGACGGGCTCCGCGATGCCGCCTCAAAATTGACTGTGGGGTTGCGCAGCGGATACGTGCGAGCACGCTGTCGAGACATGAAGGGGCGCGACGCTTCAGAATCGCAGGCCGCTCAGTTGGGGGGGCTTCGGACGCATCTTCTTTGGACGCAGCCAAAACACTGCGTCCAAAGAACCACAGAAGTAGGCAATCCTGACGTAATTAGCTGCGTCCGAAGCTGCGCTCAAAGAGCCAGAGAGGTGCCCGGGCGCAGCCCAGACCCAGGCACATATGACTAATCAGGTGCGTCTCAAGAACATGAGCTCCAGTGTTCGACGAGAATGTCTCCTTGGACCCCGATTTCTGCACGGAGAGCGCATTAAAGCACATCTCTGCAAAGACAGTTCCCTATCATGCAAGCGAAATCTTCAAGATCAAAACAGTTCGACTCATGTGCTGGATCTCTGGATTAAATGAGCCCGGGTCATGGATGGCTGCATTATGGCAACGGGACGGCCCGTTCCGTTCGGGCTTGATAATGGCTGACGACGTGCATGGTGGGGTGGTAGTACGGGAGTACATTCCCTTCAGGGCCCTTTAGGGAGGTGGTGCCGAAAAATCGTCAGCACCTCCCCCAAGCACAAGTCAGCCTCTGCCCTGGCCACCAACAATTTTCATCCTCAAGCGATCATCGCGCCGACAGACGAACGGAGGTTAGGCTGACTGGCGGAAGTCTCCCTTGCACCAGAGCCATCTGCATGACCGTCGTGTCCATACATTCATCGACATTAAGCTTCAAAGAGATGGGTACATTGATGCGAGGGCCTTGTCAACGCGGCCTTGAGCCTGGCGAGTGAAGCCCCGGAATCAATCGACCCATGGAGATGGTGCCCTTCTCTATGCATCATGAGGCAACAGCGACCCAAGCCTGGTGACCCAGGTCATGGGACGCCAGGCTGCGCGATATCCTGTGGTGCAAGCTGAAGGAGGCGATGGTTCATGGGAATGGAGAGTTGATGCGCCTTCCGCATATCGCGTTGTTCACATTTTCAGCAAGAACACTCCCGCCTCGGCAGACTCGTAATCGACAAGGTAGCTGAGGGGTCACACAGCCTCGGGGCTTGCTTTCCTGCGCCCAAGCTCCTTCACATTCCCTGGCTCTTCGGACGCAGCGAGTTTGGGTGCGTCCGAAGGAGATGCGTCCAGGCCAATCCTCACCGTTGAGCCAAGCAGAGGCGGCTGAAAGCAAGCAACGCCTTCGAGGATTGACGGGTGAAGGTGTCAAATCCGTCGCGCATCTGATGCCGACTCTATCTGCGGACTCCGGCTTGGCTCCGCAGCGTTTGCATATGGTTTATCAACCCGCAGACTCCTCACTTCGCAACGAAGTTCCGCCCAGTGGTTTTCAAAAAGCTCAGCCCAATTGCGAGAAAGAAGTACAAATTCGGAGGCAGAAAGTCGGCCCTCTCGGCATGCCGTCGGGAGAGATGCTTACGCCTTCCAATGAGGTTTGCTGGATGCCGGCGTGGTGGTCTGTCGGTTATACTTGCAACATGACCATCTTCAATGCCTTTCCCTGATCATTTTATTTCGGATTGTCCGCCTTGCAGCCTCAGAACCTTTAGTGAATGCAAACCACACATATCTCGCTGTTCGTCTGCTAAATCGACTGGCATGACCAACTGACGCGGATGCATTCACGTCGGGCAACCGCGCCCAAACATGCGTCACCCGACGTTGAAACCGGGGAGGCACAGACACTACCAAGACGATGAGGAAGCTGCTGAGACACTCGGTTCCCCGGGCAGTTGCCTACCTTAGACTTCTGTGTGAAACGAGGCAAGAACACCATCAAGTAGCAGCACACCTCCCGCTGATTCTCACGTCATGCAGTCCATTCAAACGTCGTCACACCGTCCGACTGCACCACATCTCCTCCACCACAGACTTCCACTCGTATGCAATTTCCCCCGGTCGCTTGTCCCCATCAAACGCACGTTCTCGCTTTTCGGCTCGTTTGCTTCTTTCCAGAGATCAACTTGACCAAAGAAATCCTGCATTCGACCCCAAGATGGTGCGCCAAGTCCGACCCCCAAAGCCGACCTCAACGACCAGTGCCTCGGCCACCCTGCGCGAGGACAACGATCCACCAAACAACATGGACCAGAACGCCCCACCCGCAATCGATCTAAATCTCGATGTGATGACCGTCGCAAAGCTTCGACAGCACCTCCGAGCCCACTCCATTCGCTTTCCGTTCCGGGCGAGAAAAGCAGAGCTCGTCCGACTAGCTGCGGAGCATCGCAGGGAGACTTTGGATGTCAAATTCGAGCCTGATTTCTCCACCGACAGTCTCGAGACAACGCCTGACCCGACTGCAGCCGAAGAAATCACTCTGAACGAGGAGAAATCCCAACCCACTAGCACAAGTCTGAACGCTCCAGCCGCTTTGGCTCAAGATGTGGAGGCAATGACCATCGCCCAGCTGCGTACATACTTGCAGGACCATGCAATCCACGTACCCTCTCGCGCACGGAAAGCACAGTTGCTCGGGATTGCCAAGGAGCATCATGCCAGATCGTCTGACATCCAGGCTGGCGATATGACTACCCTCTCCGCCCAGCTTTCACACCTCTCCATCGAGGCAGACCAGGCCATAGCCGACTCCACCATCGACGCTTCAACCGACGGGCCCATCACTGGCGCCTCGACCGAGATCGACACCAACACGCCCCTCCCAAACATACCCAACCCTAGTGACGACATCTCGTATCTACACCCAAGCTTCAACCCAACCTCCCTTACGATTCCAAAGTTGCGCAATCTTTTGGCCGCTCACGAGGTCGCCTACACCAAGGCCAAGAACAAGGCTGATCTGGTCCGACTGTTCGAAGCAAACATAGTCCCCAGAGCGGCCGCCACAATCCAGGTCATAGGCACAATTGAGAAAACCGATGAAGGAATTGTCGACGCATAGATCTGCTACAGCCCGGTGTTCTTGCCGGTTTGCGTCAATACCTGCATCTGGTCTACACTGAAGTGGAAGAAGGGATGTCTGCAAAAGCCGGAGAATATCTGTATTTATTGAAAGGGAGCATGGAGCCAGGTCGCATTATTTGAACGAAACACAGCAATAAGGGCTAGGGCTCAACGAAGATGGAATATGGGTAGATATGGAGCCTGTGGTAACCAAACATGCATTCGTTGACAATACCCCACTTCACCTCAGATACCGTGCAAAGCTCTGGGGCAGTCCCGTCCGATATCGTGGCAAGCTTGTACACACCGAAGTTGCTGCTCAGATTGCCCGGGTAACTATTGACCTTCATCGTAAAGCAGAGTTCTGGACTAGCCAACATCACCCATTCTGCTATTTACCGCCTATAATCCTAACGCGTTGGAAAAGAGAATCGATTTCAGTAAAGCTCTCCGGCAGGAGGAAATATGACCATTCTCCTTCGCCGTAACACACATGATGTCCGTAGACAGTTGAGCCCTCTTGCCAGAAGAGGCTGATGCCCATTTTTGGGAAGCTCAGTTCATTTCCCTTCTTATTGACGGCTTTTGGAAGGGCGAGCGCCACGTTTAGGACAGATATTTTGGCAGTGGAACCTTTCACGTCAGCATCCACGCTGCGAGCGGGATGTGTCTTGTTCTGGTTAATGATGGACGTTTAGCAGGCCCTCGGTTGAGCATAAGCCAAAGTGTGCCAAGAGGTCGCATTTGGAATCCGCCCAGGTTCAATCGAAGTTTGGAAACATGCCTTGGCTCATGTTGAATGAATGGACAATGTGCGGATGGATTGCATCATCCATTCATGGGGGTCGGAGTGGGACGTAATGACGGCTGAAGGTTGTGGCTAAACACTTCCAAGAGACGCTGTTTGGGTTTGGAATAAATCACTCGCCGCGGCGCGTGTGATGGTTGTGAGAAATAGTGTCTTCCTCTCTGCTGCCTCCAGCTTGTGGAGGTGCAGCTTTTGTTCTGGTGTTGGTCAATTGACTCTCGAGCATGAAGGCCGCCTGATATAGCTAATTATTGAGCTGGTAAATACGCACCATATTGTCTTTTATTCATTGATCAGTCAAAGACCTGCTATTTGGCAGATTAGATTATCTCAGCTGAGATTGGCGACGTTTCCATGATCAGATCACGCCCCTTACGAATAATTGCTTCATGACGGACTTCAGCCTGGAGCTGATGGACCGGAATGGCTGGGGAAAGCATAGAAACTGGTTTATATCATTGCTCTTTTATGATGTCAAGGTAAAAGCCGTCTGTGTACACAGCCGTCGCCACCGCCAATGATGTCCATCACCTGATACTGATTCAATCCCTCCCCCTGCCTGAACACGTCTTTTGTACACGCCTGTACACCCGTCCATATAGAATGCACTGATAAATGTATGTCTGTGCCCACGAATTGGCATGAAAACCTCGTCGGCGCCCGGATGGCCGGTTTGACCTGAAGTAGGCTGGACTCTTCATTTCTTTCGGAACGGATCTGTGATGAGGCTCATTTGATCTTCAGACGCCGCAAGTATTTGCCTGTATACCAGATGAATCAATAGCCGGCGAGATTCTGGTTAGCCATGCGCACGCGTGAGTAGACATTTACGGACCAAGGCACGGGAGCGATGGGCTGTTTCACTCCAGCGGACGCAATGGAGCTAGAAAATGTTTTCATCATGCCGACTGAGAAATGTGAATATGGGCATGGTGTGGTTCGGCTACAAAGCACTTCACAATCTGGATGGGAATCCGTCTCCGGGGATCTGTGTGACGCAGTCCTGCTCATGCGGTGAAATCGGGTTTCAAATGCATAGATTTGGTCCTTGTGCCCTGAAGACTCTTGAGGTTGTTTTTATGGCATGCGCTGGGAAATCAATTATTCCACAGTGTCCTTCCAGTCTATTAGCGGCATGGTAACATAGATTCGGCTGTCCCGTCTCGACGGGGCTGGTCGAGCAGGTCGTGTCGTTGGCGGCGTTATTGATCCTGAGGGGCTCTACGATGTCGATGACAACGCTGGTGGCTTCTTCTGTTCCGCGGAGCTGAATACAATCATTTGCCTCAAACATGCAGCGATTCTGTCGTGTATGCTGAACTTGAGGAAGCGATCATGCATGCGGATGTAGCACCGGGGGGTTTGGCAGATGCAGCTGCATTGCGCTTGTGATCCAACTGACTTGGGAAGTATTCTCATCTTCTGCCGACATACTCCTGCTATGGCTTATTTCGAAGAGAAAAGCACTATAGCATTGCCTTATCAGGACCTTCATGGCATGCAATCAATGTGGCGACTCGATCTTCATGGGTCATGTTCCGAGTTGTAGCCCGCCGCGTGTCTGTGAATGTGGCATAAGCTGCGTAGATAAGAGTACCATTCAACAAGTCGCAGGCGGGAAGCGGTCATTCAGGTACGAGTGAATTCTACGGCCCATAAACTTCTTTCAAACAACCATGCGCAGCCCTGTGGGCAGCAATGGTGTCGCTGCCCCGTTTCGCCTATGTTGCGTTCCCAAACGAAGAATGCAACGCAAGTGTCACCGTACGACGGATCTTGTCACCGCATTCATGCCGTAGTTGCCGACGAAGAGCGTCATGATTGTGGGGAAACAGCCGTCGTGCCCTTGAATGAATTCCACTCCGAGGACTAGAATCAATAATTGGGAGGAGAGTGCGTTGATAGAAAGATCACAAGCCCGGCCTGAAGGATGCAAAGAGTATTGCGTTTTACACTGGTAGAACAATCTGTTTCTCTCAGCGCCAGCTGGGTCTTTGCGAGTCGAGGCAAAATATCATGCTGGGTCGGGTGGTAGTGGTCTTTGCCCAGATCGACGCGTAATTACAAACGCACAAGCACCAAGGGTTAACCCGGAATTATAACAGCCTTGTAGAATCAGATGGAAATTCGGCATTCAAGCAATTTAATTCAGTCAGGCCGATCTGTCACTGGTTGTGTGGATGCTATTGGCTGCGGATTGTGACTGTGACTGTGACTGTGGCTTCCGGAGTGCTGACCCAGGGTCGGCCGAAGCCCCGCCTCAAGTACTGAATCCCGGCCCCGAGGCTTCTCTTCAGCCGACGACATGTGTCCAATGGGAACCCTGCACCTGCCGATTGATGATACTCCGCCATGGGTGCCTCTACTGTCTTGTGCCAGATTCAAGGCTTCTTCCGAAGGAGAGTTCACGTTTCTGGTACAAACACAAACGCATAATCATATTTATCGGGCATGCAAAGATGAAGCAGAGTTTCCATTTGATTTGGTATTCCGATGAGGAAGGGATGACCAGCAATAACTGAGCATAGGATAGCGAAAACGATGATTATTGACCTTGATATCAGGTGCGTTGAATTCCTTTCGTGCTTGCTTTCCAAGGCACACTACGTCAACCCGAATCGCGGCCGTCGTGAGGAGTTTTCTGTAACAACTAAGTACACCTCTAGGAGTCAGGCAAGTAATGCGAAGTGTCTTTCGTCTCTCCGACAACAATGCAATAGTCTCCATGGCGTTTTTCATGATAATGCGTGGTGCGCTGCGCAGGAAGATCGGGGAGGTTGCTAACAGCATAAAACCTCTCTGACTTCTTGACGCCCCCATTGCAACCTTCACACACTGATGATGAAGTCAGTTTGGTTCTTCTTGGTGGAGGCTCGCCAAAGTTCTGAGCTTTGTAATCTGGAGAAAGCAACATAATGAGCAACGACGAGCGCAGCACTATTGGTTCGATTGGCATGGAACTTCAAGCTAGAACTGCTCGTTTGAAAAGCAAAATTCGGAGGAATGGAGGCCCTGTTCAATGATCAACCTTTCAAAGTAAGTCCAAGATCCAATGCCTGTCGGGGAAAGATCTCTCCATGTATTCGAGCACCTCAAGCATTTAAAAGCCCCAAGCAGTACAGTAAGTCCCGTGAGTCGGGAACATCATATTTGCCAAGCTCCCTACACCTTGATCACATTGACCGAGGGGAGCATTGCAGAACAGCGTAAATGCTCGAGACGAGGTGTCAGGCTCAGTGGGTGTGAATGCAAAAGATCTTCAGCGCTTTTAGTGGGCTGCTCGAACAGCCTGTATACACCCAAGAGTGCTGTCCTTGCCCATCGTGTTTGAAGAAGTGTACTCGTCTTCGTAACAGGGCCCTCACAAGCCGAATCAAAGCTGACGTTCAAGCATGTCATAGGAGTCGAGTGCAAGTAAATCGTTGCAGGCACAAGCTGGCTTCGTTTCATATACAGAGTCCACAGGCAAGGGCTAGAAACACCATCAACAAATAATCACAGCTCTTCATGATTATTTCATGCCGTCAAAGAGAGGTGTAAGAAGCAGTGCCTCGCTTCCGCAGAATAGAGAGCCACCTCATGTTTCACGGTCTGGTTCGAATGTTTTCTGTTGCAAAGCGCGTGATTGCTATGTAGCATGAAACTGGTTCGTTCCGCCGCCTTGAATCAAGTATTATGTGCCCCTCCCCCAGCTGCTCGCCCAGCAAAGCTCTCCTCATGAGTCTGGGATCCGGACGTCTTGATTGCTAGACCTGGCGACAAGATGCCAAGATAAAGTTTGCGGAGCGATTTACAGAATAGGTGATGCAGCAACGATGACGGAAACGCCCGTTATTATTCTTCGCTAAACAGCGCAGTTCTCCCTGCAACAGTATAAAGACCGCCCAGTCTATCAGCTTTCGCGCGCCATTTCTGCCATGCCGGTCAAGTATTTCACTACAGGCGGTCTGATGATGAAATTAGACCAGGAGCATTTGCGGCGTGCATCGCGTGTGGGCTGTACTAAGTCTCATTACACCCGTGATTTTTTTTGAGATCCATTTTATGAAGAATTCTTGTGTGAATACTTGAATGACTAGGGATACTTGAGAGGTCCCCCCTACAGTCAACAAGGTGCGTCTCCAGGCGGCAAACTGCGAAGAAAAAGTTAGAAGGGAAGAAAGATTCTTTTGAGATCTCTCGGATTTCAGAAACTTCACACAAGCTTATTAAGTCGAGAACTAGATTCCATGTCACGCCTGCAAAGGAACTTGAGTCGTGCGCCGTGAGTGCGACCGTCGCCGTCGCACTTTGAGATAGGTTTTCCCAGGCTGTGAGCGTGAGGGTTGTGGGGCAGTCGTTGCATTCAAGGTCCTGGGTCCAGTACAATCTATGTGATAAGAGGAACCAGTGCTGATAGTCCCGGTTTTCCGAAGTTATACAGCACAAGCTTGTCTCAGAACGAAGGCATGAAGCGTTATAGGTTGAGAGATTACTTGTATGGCAAAGCCTGGAAACGAGTTGGAGGAAGCGTGGAAGCCAAGTGTTTCCCGGAAATGAGGACTTGCGAGTGCAACCAATTGTGAGCAGTAAATTGACATAAGCTAGCACTCCTAATACCGAGTACTGGCAGATTGGACTGTGAGAAATGTCGCTTACTTTGTTATTGATCAAACCACAAGCCAGGAAACCATATTCCTTGTCTACACGGCGCTTATCTAGATGAAAAGACTCATTCACTCCACAGATTTCTTTCCACGAAGAAAATATGAAGAAGCGTTTGACGAACTTCCAACCTATATCATTCTCACAGTTGATTCAAATTGAAGAAAGGAAACGTCTCACGAAATTTGGGATAGCTTGCCGCTGAATCAAAGAGGCCAATGGCTGGTCCACCAGCGGGACAAGCAGGAACGATGGCATCATTCTAAACAAGGCAAGGATTTAGGACAAGCGGGCCGAGATTCGACGCTTGACAATGGAGACCTCGAGCAAGAAAGACCAGCATGACAACAGATTCGCGAACTCTGATGATACACTTTCCAAAACGTCAGTATGGGAAGTCAGTGGCGTTGAAGACGGTCAAATGGAATCACACTCACATCAAACGTCGAATTTAAACTGACATGGAACAGCATTCTGAATCCATCTTCTTTCTCTGCGTCCTCCAGCTGTATCAATGCTATATTGGATCATTGGTAACTGGTATGAAAGGTTCAGCTTTCTAGTGTCGCGGCCTCACAGTCAGTAGTGACAATTCCTCGAGCCATTATGAGGGAAAAGAGCTTTGCGGCGCAGCGATGTAAGTTAGCGTAATCACCGTTTTTGAGATGATCCACAGCTTGAGGAAATGGATTCTCTTGAAGAGTCTAGACATCATATGCGAAGGAATCACATTAAGTGGCTGAGGAACTCAACCTGGGAATTGCATACTAAGGGAATGTAACAGATGTTTTCATAGAGTGAGCATGATTAAACCGGGATAATTTGCCATCAAAGAGACTGAATACAGCCTAAATTCAACATATCTCTACATCCCGGCGTCTCCCCTTTCTCAGTGCTTTGACGAAAGAAACAGCTGCTTCACGTCGGGCGATAACCTTTTGCCGCGCTACGACGATGCCGGGAAAATTTATGTGTCGAAATGGCGATGTTCCAGTTTGCGACGTGATTGGAAATTGGGTCCTTAGCGACACCGATTGAACCATCTATCCACTCCTATTCGCCTGAAACTCACAACTCCCAAGGAAAGCAATATGCATCCTCAAACAACTGAATTTGGCAAGACGATACTCCGTCTGCAAAGGGATTGCGAGATCGACCCGCTCCTGGGGTTGGAATCCCAACCCAATTCCCGTTGTTTTCCCTAATCCAGAGATTTCTGGTCCACTCCAAATGGCTGAAAAGGGCCAAGCTCTCGTCTGTTCCATCTCAAATAAATTACCCCAGACACGATTTTCCGATTTACCCCAGTTGCAATTTTCGTCTTTCGGGCGACGAGCACGCTTCTCCGGGTCCGGCACGGGTGCGGGCCCGTGGCTCGTCGGCGTGGGGCCGATATTTTCGCGTAAGGTAAGCCGAGCGCTGATTGACATCCCCACACAGCGTCGCCTAACGAAATTGTCAGAGTTATAATTCGAATTAACGCGGGCCGCTACATCTTCACAACATTGCAGACCTGTCACGTCAATCGACGCCTCTTCTCCACACCAACCACCAGCGCCGTGGTCGATATGTCAAGAAGTACCGAAGAGCTGATATAGCGACTGGCGGAGGCGGAAGCACGAGCGAAAGGGGTAGAGAAGGAGTGAGGCGAAGAACAGCGACAAACGCAGCCCACAATGCTCGACAAGTACATTACTGCCTGTCATTCCCTTGTCGTCTGTCGCCCCGACGTCGGAACAGACTGCAACCTGGCCTTTGAGGGGCCTGTCATCACCCCGCGCGACAAATGGTGCCCCACAAATCGTCCCGTGGGACGATTTCCTGTATTTACAGGAGCTCACATTCGGCATGCTCTACGAAAACTTTCCCGTCAGTACCCACTTGTTTGAGAATTGCTCTTTCTTATCTGGTCTAGGAACCAGATTCCCGAAGCGCAAGATCAGCGATAAGAAAGTCCTCGAGGACCTTCTGTATGATAGCGCGGACCCGGTTGGAACTGTCATGAGTGAGCTACAGATTGTGGAAGAAGTCAAACGCGCGTTCGGTCTAGATGACGGCATGATATTCGAGAAACCCCCACATGCGATCTGCGACACCACCGAAGACGTAGTCCGCCACGGGAACCCATCGACACCGCCCTCGACACCACGCCACACCCCACTCGACCTGATGCAGTTGCGAGCCGATCAGACCTGCATCTCCATTGCATCTGCCGATCCATAAACATGAGCATGACGGAATGCACCATGCGCTACGTTCCTGAGTACAAGCCGTCTCACAAATTGACTGCCCCGCATCTACGTCTCGGTCTCTGATCGATGAACATGTATGAAGAGGTGTTAATCGGAAGATGATCCTAACATCTGTTAACTCGGAGGTTCGATTTCAGTATCACGCCAAAAGGCTTACCGTGGCCACCATCGCGCAAACCTATCACTACACGTGTGGCCTCTTGACGAGGGGCGAGCCAATTGTGTTGCTCAGGTCGATCTGGCAGAGCCATAGACGCTGCTGTAACATCTGGCGGAACTTGCCGCGGACGTGCAACCATTCCCACTGTTCAACAGCCGTCGGCCGATACTTGGCCTTCAATTTGATGGCTGTAGGCCTGCCAGGTGAGTGACAGCTACACAGACAGGACGAACGGAACAATACTATGAAGAAGCCGAGGAACATGGTTGGAAGATTTCGAGACGACACCGCAATCGATTTCGGACGATGAGCAGCGGGCAACAATCAGCTCGCGAGGATACCGGCCAATGATGTACAAGGGGTTTTGAAGACCTCACTACTTGCTTCAGGGCAAACGGCGGAGCAAGCGGGATCATGGAAGATACGAGCCGCGCAGAGGCGAGCAGCGGGATCCAGAGAAGTCATGTAACGATGAGTCGAGACGAGATGTACCAAATACGCCTAAGCAGGGGACAAGAGACACGCTGAGCAATCCCTCATACTCAGGGTGGCCAGGGAACTTAACGCAGTCAACGAGTTCTAGCGCGTCAGCCAGGGGGCGGAGAAGGTGGAAGTAGTGACCAAGAAAGGCCACACTGCACCCAAAAGTGCCTGTTGGGACTTGCGAGGAGAGGTACTCTCGATTCGACGTGACCGAACGTGTCCATACACTGGGCGGGCACAGCGGTGCCCACCGTGGCCATCGCAACCCAAACCGTATAGTTTCCTGTCACCCAATCGATCGGGCAGAATTCCTCAGTCGAAGCGCCTCCAGCGGACGGTGGAAATGGGCATCAAGCGGCTAGGAAGGGGTGGCACATGCGGCGTGTTGTTCAAGGTAATTCTACTTGAATCCGGCTACACATTTTTGAGCAAGCAAGGGGGCGGTGTAAGCATTCATCCAGGACGCTTAGAACGGGGCGGCTGTCTACGAAGACTTGCAGCCTATTCAAGGCATGTATGTGCTGGTGTTGCTCGGGTAAGTCAACGTTAGGTCAATGAACCGGATCTATTGCTACGACCACCGAGTTTACGTTTTACACGCGATGTTTCTGTCGTGGGGATGGCTAGCTCTCCACACGGTAGATGTTGGACAGGCATAGCTTGAATGGGCGACAACGCGGTCACTGCAGTCCATTCTCGGCAAAGACGTCCGAACACCGAATATGCTATTTAATGCGGTGGTCAAGGGAATCATTTTAACGGACTTTGATAGAGCGCTGTTGTTGGAGCGGCCTTGTCGTCCGCTGGCACAGCTTGTGCCTAATAAGCGCAGAAGGAGACCCGAAGCGAGAGATAGCGTGAGCAGGGTTGGAAAAGTAAAGCAATAGCAGAGAAGTTCATGTAGAGTAAGGTATACACAGAAACCGGAGACAATGAGGATAGCGCTCAGGAAGCAGTTTGCTTCACAGAGAAGGCAGACAGCTGTCTGACAACTTGTGGGCTATGGTTTATGAGATGTACATTTGACTTCGGCAGATACCCAGGCATTTTGTGTCGACGGCCTGGGAAAATCGTGCTCGACTTCAGAGTCCGCAATACGTTTCCTTGAAGGTCTTACCCGTATGTTCAGCCGTTGACTCCGGGAGACCGGGCTCATTTACAGATGTGTTGAGGCTGAACATACAAATCGGCACCGCATCCACATCGTACTGTCACCGTGTTTCTCCACAACGCTGCATCTTTGATTGCTTTGCTGCAGTTCTGGTTGGTTCTGCCCATTTCCGCTGGTGAACAGCCCACCTCGACGTCTTCTAAACCAAGCGCCAGCCAGGAAGACCAGCGACCCAGAACGAGAGGAGCAAAGCCGAAAGGCATCGAGGACTAAGGCTGTTTGTCGCACCTGTGCAGGTATTGGATACTCAGGCGAGGCACAGCATGGAAGATCGTTTGACACCCTTGGCTTATAATCGGGATTGCCCTTGATGAGTAAGTTCATATAGATAGCGGATATTGCCCTGAACTCACAGTCTGCTGGCAAATTAATACCCAATCAACCGTTCGTTCACTTATTTAAAGACGTGTCAGCCGTCCCTAGGTTGAAGTAACATAATCTGGCCTCTGTCGCTATCACCCAATCTATGCTCATGACAAGGTGCAGCGCCGGCGACATCGGCTCCGAGCTGGCCCTCTCCGGTGCCGCGCCTCGTATGCTGGCTTATATAAATCGTCTCGTTAGCCTCCCCAAGGTGACTCTCCTCTGACACGATGTTACCGGCCATTTGACCACCAACGCTGTAAACGTGGGTGGCAAGCTGTACTACACCATTGATGCCTTGAGCGCCCATAACATTGCCCCTAGTTTTGAGACTGGCTGCCTCCTTGACGATAATGTCTTTGCCGTTCCACGCGTGGCGCACACTCTGGCTCGTCAACCTGTGGACCATTTCTATCCACCCCCACAATCTGCAGATGGGAATCTACCCGGCCAGCTCGTCGGTGACACTCCGAGCGAGACGATTTGACTTGAGTCATGCCCGACAGAGTGCACGTCATCTCGCTCGTCATAAGCGCGAAAAATGCTGACATTGTTACGGGCGCCTTCAGGGTTGAGATATTGAAGGACTCGTCGCGCAGGGTGAAAGACGGAGAGGAATCTATGGCGAGTCTCAAAGACCTAATTCAGCGTACTCCTGCTGGATGGTTTGCGAGAAAAGATTACTGATGATGTGTGCAATGGAGTGTTGGCTGGAGAGGGCCACTGGTGGTTGTAGCTGGCGTTACTCCTGAAGGGATGCTGACCGGTATTCTGGCAAGGATTCTGTTCTTGAGTTCTTCGATTTCCACAGGTCTTTAGGTTTGTTAATGGTGTCCGGAAGAGGAGCTCATTGATACAAACTTGGGCTTGCAAGCTGTGTTGAAGATGACAGGAGAAATTGCACGAAGTTGTGTCATCGACCTCAAAACGCACCACATACCCTCTCATTGTCAATGACTTCATAGATGGAATAAATCCTGATTCACTCCTGAATTGATATAAGCCTGTGCAGCCTCAGATGATGTCCCTGAGTATGCAGTAGCAAGACTGATGTAGCAGTGGTCAGGTTCCCCTTGAGTCTCTGGGCTTGAAGCGAGCTTGTTGACATTGGGCAGAATGTGAAGGTTGGCATCTAGCACGCCGCAACCGGGCTTGGTGAGCTTGTTGTGGACGTTGAAGACGTTGTAGGAGTTCTCAAATTCCCCAGAGACGACGGCATCCGCCCCAGTCATGTCAATGCGCGCGAACGAATCAAGCACGGCGCGCAGGTTAGCCTGGGATGTTACATCGCAGTTCAAATGACGAATAGTTCCAGACGCAGCGACATCTACCAAAGAGCACTCAATGTTCAAGTCTGGCTAGTGGGTTAGGTTGAGGTTGAGAATGTGGACAACACAATCCTTGGGAGCGAGGATATGGGCAAAAGCCGATGCCAAAAGCACTCTTGGCGGTGATTGCGGGTTTACGGTGGAGGGAAGGGGGAGAAGCCCCAAGTTATGAATTGAACTGACTGTCTTTTGTTCTAAACTGCGGATCGCAAAGTACAAATGCCGGACATAAACATGCACCGCTTCAATAGCCTCGTGGTAAAACGCCCAAAATATGCCTACGCATCGTCCCTCTCCTCTTCACCATCACTTGGTTCTTCGTCATCAGTCAGCTCCTCATCATGACTAGGTTGTTCGTCATCAACGTCGCTGTCGTCGTCAGCCGAGTCGTTGAGGTCAGCATCGTCATCTTCGCCAGGCAAGTCGCTGTGGTCAATCTTATCGTCGTTTTGATTCTCATCAGAGTTCTCCTCGCCGGCAGTATTAAGCTCTTGCTCAATCTTCTGGATCTCGTCTTGCATGGCCTTGAGGCCTTGGATGCTGCGCTGGCGGTTATTTTCCTCCTCTGCTTTGCGGGCTGCGGCGAGCCTGGTTGCCCCTTCTGCGGTCTCCAAAGCAGCCTGCATCTTCTCTTTGGCCATCTTTCCGCCGCGCATGAGGGGTATGAGTGACTTGATCTTATCCATGTCCTTCTGGCAATTCTCCAGATGGTTGCTTGCCGGGCCTGGTTGCGCCGCTGCTTGTCCAAGTAAAACCGCTACCAGAGTGTTGATGTCATACATGGTCTGCCTGGCTAGATGCGCCTTGGCCTTGAGCTTGTCGGGGACAGATGTAAGCTTTGCTCGCAGTTCGGCGAGCGCTTCGTCAAGGGCGCGAGCCTCACCGTTTGACACAGACAGCCAGTTGGCATCATCAAGTAGAGCCCGACGTATGATCGAGTCGGCTGGTACCGGTACACGGACCTCGCTGCCAGTACCAAGAGAGTCTGCATGCTCCCGACGAAGTTGGGCCAATAAGTCATTCGGCGGAGGCAGATGTGTGGAACCGCCGCCCGCAGCCAAGGGCGAATCTCGGGCGCTCTTGTAGGCAGCCAGAACCCGTCGCCAAAGAAGCCAGTCGACTTCCTTTGGAATGCTTGTAGCTGCGAGAGCGTAGAGGCTGTGAATTAGGACACCCACACCGGAGTCTTGCTGGTTCAGTTGCGACACACTGTGTCGGCTGATGGAATTCCACGAGCTTCTTGGGCAAAGCTTAGGCAGCGCAGTGTCGTTGTCCTGTGCCACATCAAAAAGGCTGCACATCAGACCCTCTGCCTCCTTGGTAAGATCCTGGTCGCTTGCCGCATTGTAAGTTTCGATGACGACTTGCTTTTGGGCATTGACCTTCACAAAGGCCAGAGCCCAATGATGGTTTGTTCGGAGTGGCATGAGAATCACCGCCTCTTTCGGGTTCTGATCGAAAACACC